CCTTTAACCCAGCTTGTCAGCATTCATTTGACTTTACCTGCAGCCCCCTCCTAAAACAGTTCTAAAGCAGACACAGCCCAACTCCCTTAACTTCTCTCTCCCTCCAAGACACACTTATCTGGTTCCATTGCTATCTGTTTAAGACTGTGCCCCACCCCCACCACTCAGAGTTTAGCTCTAAATAAACACTAAGTCATAAACAACCTCCTACCACTGACTTTCAGTGAACAGATACTATACATTAAGTCCCCCATTTCTCCCTTATAATTAAACCATTAAACTCCCCAAGAGTGGTCACAGCAGCCTTTATGAAATGCAGCAGCAGCTACTCCCAACAGACCTTTTGCTGAAACTGACACATTCTCCTTCACCCCCACCCCTTTGTCTACCAGACCCTGTCAAACCTTTTTTACTCTACACAGGCCAAAAACAAGGTATAGCAGTCAGAGTCCTGGCTCAGCCCCTGGGGCCCACTCTATCTTCTATAGCTCATCTGTCTAAGCAACTAGATATGACAGTCAGGGTTGGCAACCCTGCCTCTAGGCCCTAGGGACAGCCACCACACTCATGGAAAGAGCCCTAAAGTTAACCCAGGAAAAGCCTATCCCCACAGACTGCAAGACCACCTCTCACACTGAGTCCTGTCTTTGCTGTCTCCAAGCTGCTTGCAGAAAATCTATCGCATGCTTATCGAAAACCATAACATAACTCTGCGCCGGGCTCCGTTTAAACCCAGCAACCCTCTTGCCTCAGCTCCTAGACTCACTGGAACGTAGTGGTCACTCCTGCCCCCAGACAGTTGAGGAACTAACACTGCCCCGACCCAGACTCTCTGATCAATGGTATCCTAACCCAGATCTAACTGTTGATGGCAGTTCTGTTGTAAATGTCCAGCGGGCAATGGCAGGCCGCATATACTGTCCTCTCACTTGACCAAGTCTGGAAAGCTGCATGCCTATAAAAGCTGCATGCCCTCCCTATAAAAACTACTTCTCAAAAAGCGAAACTGGTTGCTCTCACTTGAGCAGTCCATCTAGCTAAAGGAAAAAATGGGTAATATATACTCTGATTCTAATTATACATTCCTTATAGCTCACTGTCATGCCACCATCTGGAAGGAGCGGAAAATTTCTAACTACCAAAAGTTCCCCCACAGTAAACGGTAAATTAATAGTTAATCTCTTACAGGCTCTTCAGCTGCCAGCAAAAGTAGCCATCATCCATTGCAAAAAACATCAAACTGATAACTCTCTTGTCTCCCTCCAAAGGCAGTTAACATCCTTAGCATGAGTCACCTTACAAAATCGCCAAGCTCTTGATTTATTAACAGCGG